GGTTATTACTTGGGTGAAATGTTAACTTAAGTCAAATGCAGCTTAGTTATAATTAAGATGTAGGTAGGTTAAGATAGGAGTGATTACTCAATTATTTTATTATTAAATTAATTGAGGATAGTTTAGTTCATTTCACACCCTTGATAATTAGGTTAGAAATTAGGGAACTTTTATTTTATCTACTCGACTAGGTTAGAAATTGAAAAATAAGAATAGAAAGCATATTAGGTAATTAGAAAAGGGAAAGGTATTCAATTAAAAAGGAAAACATTAAATGTTCAATTAAGAATTTGACCACATGTAACTAGCCAACTCTGTTGGAGAGCCATCAAACTGGATCACAGGGTGGAGCAGTCTGAATGGGGAAGATTGAATAAAATAAACTTGAGAACCAATGGGAAATCGACAAGAAACCAGAGGTTTTCAAAATTAGTCTTTTCTCTTCTGGTTTTAAAATTCCCATTAAAACACTGGTAGTGGTATAGAAAGATCGTACGTGCCGGTTTGTGAGGTTGAAGAAGGTGTTTCCAGCTTCAGCAGAAAAGTGGTAAGTGGTGATAATTTTGAGTCTCCAATAACACCGTTCAATAACCACTCCAAGAAGAAACGAAAGAAGATTTCGTTCAGATTGCCTCCGGTTCAGAAAACTGTTATTTACTGCTTCAGATCAAATTTACTTTTCAGCATAATTTTCCACAAAATTTTAAAATATGACAGAATTATTCACGCTACCAAAATATCAATTCTTACTTAACAAGCATGAAAGAAAAATAAAAAACTTAAAACTTCACCATAATATTCCTCTAATAGCTGTAGAAGGCCCTTTCCAATAACATACTCTTAGGTTGTTTTCGAAACTGTTTATAGTCAGATATTGATTTCAATTCATTACTGAGATGATTGAAAATGTTCCATCTTTCATAAAATAAAGAATCTTTCAATTTTCAACTAGACTTAAAATGGTTCATCTTTGCTAATAAAGTATGTCTTGACTTTGACATCCAAGGTTCTGGGTCCAGCTCGGCGGTTAATGCACAGCATCTCATAAAAGTTTAAATTAGGTACCATCCTATGTTCTTGTGCTAAAATTTTAATTCCACACACAGCATTCAATCAACACTACTCATTTCAATACTGAAGAGTTTTTGTTGGTTAGCCCATCTGCGGCAGGTACTGAGGTCCCTGGTTACCTAGACTCACAGTTATAGTTATTACTTTGAGCCAATATCTCTAGATTGATTTTTCAATTTGTTTGCTAGGATATTCGCTAATGCACGCTCGGAATCCAAAAATTAAAATCCCACCACAAAAGAAAGCACATAATTTTTCTAGGTTTTAATTTATTCTTTATCTGTGTTGTTTACAGCATGGAACGATTAAATACATGAACAATGCACATGTTATAAGAATGGTTATAAACAAACAAGAAAAAACATATAAAAATAAAAGAAATAAATAATACTTGCATAAATTGAACTCTCAAAAACAAAATAATAATTATTCAACTGACCTGTGAATGCTCCTTTTGAGACAAACTAATCATAAATTGGATAGAACAATCAGTTTAATACAAAATAAAAATAAAAATTGAATAATGAACAATGGCAGATAAGCGTCTTAAGGGACCAGCCCAACTTCTTCTCTAGTCTCTTCGCTTATTCTATCTACCCTTCGTACGCTTTTTCTGTGACGTTCTACGTTCGCCCCTACTTGACAGCGCATTACATGATTGCAACATTTACTTTTATTCAGTAAACGTTTTTTAAAACGTTAAGATTTGGAGAAATAATATTTAACTCAATTTTTCTTGAATTAAAATGTAATGGAATTTTAATGGAAACAATCTTCCACTAAATCCACACCGACAAGAAAATTTTATCGAGTTTAGACATGTGTGATCCTTTTATAATGAGATTACTTGGAAAAGTTTTACACGAGTTCGAGCCCTTCACACCTTTGCTCGTGGCTGTGGATTGGTAGAGAAGATCTTGGGCCCATTTTCTTTGAATGCAGTCCTTTTTCTGGCTGCTGGTGCCGCTGACTTTATAATATTTTTATTTTACTCATCATATATTTTTATGCAGTTTGATAACCGTATAAGTATACTGATGTAAAGGTAATTTATATTAAGAAAGTATTGATGGGGAAATTTATACATACATAATCATAAATTCTTAGATAAACATCAAATATAACTTTCAGAAGAAAACGATTGGTAGCATTCCCGAATTAAAAGAACCTGATTGAACTGAAAGATTTTAGATTCAGATGATTAAACTCAAACTGCGAAAATCCCAAAAACTCACCGCCGGTCTTCAAGGTCTCTGCTATTAACAGGGTCCGGCTCGATGTAGCATTTCACCACAGGCGACACTGCGTTTTTATGGCATTATACTGTTCTTAATCACGTATGTGTTTTAAAATAAAACAGGACGTGAAAAATGCAGTTTTCAGAAGGATCCTCAATTGTTCTTGGTTCTAGTTACATCCTCTTTGAAGTTTGATATGATTTCCCTGTTCACTGATTTTATACCCATGACATTGCATGTTGTCTGCTGGACAACTTTTATATCATTATATTAGATTTGCTATTGCAGCCTGTCCTAAAATTTCTTGTCTCAAAAGTTGAACACCCTAATGACTGGAAATATATTCAAACCCTTGTCCCAATCAACCTGGAACACTGGGTCTTTGCCATGACGTTATTTTGATAAGTCGCTCAACCAGTATTTTGAAGTTGACCATACAGTTCTTCTTTGTTGCTGTAGGTGCTCTTTCAAACTTCAACAATTCAGTGGCAATGATTTTTTCAGTACTCACATTGTCCGGACGGTTTCGGCGAACTTTTACGTGGTGATCGAGGTACTATTTCTCTGTTAGATGGCAGTAGGTATCAGCTTGGGTTCTACTGAAGAAGGACAAGATAACTTTTCGGTATTTTTATGAATGTTGGATGTTCCATGCTGTCAAATACTCGAATGAATTGGAGACTTTTGAAGAAATGTAATGCAGCCTTGAATTCGACACAACTTTCAAAATTACGGTAGAATTTTGCAAATACAACAATACAAGCTTTCAGCTTCATTTTGCACGTAGAGTTTTATTTTTTGTAGGAGATGTCTGAAGCTCTACTGTGGATCTTTGAAAGATTCATTCAAACTTTCCAGCCATTGTCCATCATTAGTCAAACGCAAATAGGTAGTGTAGGTAAAAAAATCTTTGATATTGGCTCTACCAGAATCTTCTAACTTTCCACTGAACAGCATTTCGGTAAGGTATTATGAACTACACGAAAACATTTAAAAATACTAAAATTAACATAAAGCCCAACGAATGATCAATTGTCACAAATTAAAATGTAATAAATAAATCGGAATAAACTAAAAGATGTAACAAAATGCAAATTCATATTCTCGGTTCAAGCTCATCTTTCATGGGAAAAGTTTTATTTTAATAGATAGGTAAAATGTGACCCCAATGAAATTTACAAACACATGGAGTTCTGCGAACGACCCAATCTGTTCGAGGGTAAAAATCACTTGAAAGCAAGAAAAGTATCGAATTTTATAGCTTCAAGATTATTATTGCTATAACCCGAAATTGACAAATATATACATATAGGCAAAATTTATGTTTTCCTTGATAAACACTAAACTTTAAATTAATCTGTCGACTGAACCAGATCCCATGTGGTTGTAATAATTTATTTAAAGTCAAGTATAATCTTCTGAATACCCACGTTTTATGACGAACCCAGATGTCAGGTTACTGATACCGCTGGAAAGAATTATGTATATTCGAAGCATGTGTGTGTGTAGAGAAGCAATAATTACATGAGCTGGATTTTTCGGATACAATAACAAATTGTAAAACAATATAATTATCAAGGGTTATTACTTGGGTGAAATGTTAACTTAAGTCAAATGCAGCTTAGTTATAATTAAGATGTAGGTAGGTTAAGATAGGAGTGATTACTCAATTATTTTATTATTAAATTAATTGAGGATAGTTTAGTTCATTTCACACCCTTGATAATTAGGTTAGAAATTAGGGAACTTTTATTTTATCTACTCGACTAGGTTAGAAATTGAAAAATAAGAATAGAAAGCATATTAGGTAATTAGAAAAGGGAAAGGTATTCAATTAAAAAGGAAAACATTAAATGTTCAATTAAGAATTTGACCACATGTAACTAGCCAACTCTGTTGGAGAGCCATCAAACTGGATCACAGGGTGGAGCAGTCTGAATGGGGAAGATTGAATAAAATAAACTTGAGAACCAATGGGAAATCGACAAGAAACCAGAGGTTTTCAAAATTAGTCTTTTCTCTTCTGGTTTTAAAATTCCCATTAAAACACTGGTAGTGGTATAGAAAGATCGTACGTGCCGGTTTGTGAGGTTGAAGAAGGTGTTTCCAGCTTCAGCAGAAAAGTGGTAAGTGGTGATAATTTTGAGTCTCCAATAACACCGTTCAATAACCACTCCAAGAAGAAACGAAAGAAGATTTCGTTCAGATTGCCTCCGGTTCAGAAAACTGTTATTTACTGCTTCAGATCAAATTTACTTTTCAGCATAATTTTCCACAAAATTTTAAAATATGACAGAATTATTCACGCTACCAAAATATCAATTCTTACTTAACAAGCATGAAAGAAAAATAAAAAACTTAAAACTTCACCATAATATTCCTCTAATAGCTGTAGAAGGCCCTTTCCAATAACATACTCTTAGGTTGTTTTCGAAACTGTTTATAGTCAGATATTGATTTCAATTCATTACTGAGATGATTGAAAATGTTCCATCTTTCATAAAATAAAGAATCTTTCAATTTTCAACTAGACTTAAAATGGTTCATCTTTGCTAATAAAGTATGTCTTGACTTTGACATCCAAGGTTCTGGGTCCAGCTCGGCGGTTAATGCACAGCATCTTACCGCAGGTACTGCCGGACGAGAAAAAGCTTATTTAAAGCGGAGCCAAATCGGCGCCGACTTCAGTAACGGCAGCAGCTTTCGCGCCGAACGAGCGCCAGAGCGTCGCAGACGGTACCGGAAAGAACGCGTGCACTTGGAGTGATAGAGAGTGGTGTGTTGTGGATGTATCTGAGGAGTGTTTTTATTTTTCGAACGAAAACAGCCCCATAAATTTTCGGTCTTTCGATTCAAAATTGACTATAGATCTCAGGATGGATAATCAGAGTTTTGTCCCGGATAACGTAAGTTCATAAATCATATTACTGTTTTCATTGAATGAAAATCCCAAGAAAAATCTTCATTTATTTAGTGCATATGTTATTGATTCTGATAACGAAGAAATCATATCCTTTCAAATTATTATATTAATATTTTCTTAGGTAACAGCACAAGACAATCACATTCCAAATCACTCCATATAAACTTTCAATTTCCCAATATTTTCTATTTTTGATTCCATTTTTAGGAGCTAAATTATTTTGATTAGATCTGCAATTATGTACATATTATGTACTTGAAATAATAATTAAAATATATAGTGTCCTGACATAGACAGTATAAAATTTCATCTATGTAAACACGATTCCCTTATAAATTTTATAACCATATTGTTTTTGCATAACAAATTAAAAATCATTGTTCCGTCATTGCATAATAAAATACTTTACTATTCATTAATTCATGTAGTTAAACGATCGGCTATCATCACAATATAAATTGGCTTTGGTGATCGCTTATGGGTTTTTCTCAGATGAAGGTGCTAATACCGGTACTTTTTTTATGTTAAACTTTTATTTGGTTTTCTGGTCACGAAAAATTATTGTTGCGCTGCTAAAATTCCCAAATAGAAACTGTTAGATTAAGTATCACAGCTATTTTTGAACAGCAAAATTTATAGACAGGTGGGAGCCAATAAGGAAACAACATGTTTTGATTTATAGTGATAGATAATTCCCATCCAATAATATTCATCAATACAATTAAGTTTTGGTGAATTGGTTTTGATAAGTTTCTATTAGAAATAGTAGGAGCATTTTACACAAGAAACGAAGATACCGTACTCTAGTACAAGGATAATCTAAAACTAAAAATATTCTTTTTAAAAATACTATAGAAACCACAACAGAGCAAAACATAAAAATATAATAAAACCTATAATAAATTACACCTACTAAGTAAAAACACCAAAACTGAATATTATCAAAAACAAATAAAAAATGACAAAGACTCAAAATAAATATAGGACTTAATCAATAAAATGTGTGGAAAAAAGAAAAAAAAAAACGAAATAAAAGAAAATGGGAAGCTGTCTCAGACCAGCAACAACATAATCAACAACAATAAATAAATGTTCAACGCAATAATATTCAAAAACTAATAATAAAAACAGTTTTGTTTACAAGAGACAGATTGTCAAGAAAAACATAAAATCGTACAACTTTTGAAATTCATAATTAACAAATCAGGAATGTGTCCAATTTCTTTCAAAACAACAATAACAAAACCTTTGTATAAGTCTGGGACTTTGAAAAACTAATGATAAACCGCTTAACAAACGTTCTAGAAAATCAGAATATTTTGGTTGAATAACAGTATGGTTTCAGACAAGGACGAGACGCAACAGAGAATGTAACAACCCATATAGCTACCTACTGTGATGACACTGTTGTTAGATTTGAGTGACGAGACTGGAACGAAATTAACTAGATAAAATGTTTTATTATTTTTAAACCATGAGGTCAACAATCAACTACAGTAAAACATATTTCATGCCTTTTTTCATTACCGATGGGACGCTCTCACAAGTTACGTTATCATTAAAATCAGATAATTGCTTTACATCTGTATCTGAAATATCTGCAGATTTTTTAAAAATTATCTCAACTGGAAGTTTTGTATTTAGATTTAATCACATCTTACTTATGGTATCATAGGGTGGTGAGCGTAACAAAAAATGATTCAGCATGTTAAAAGAAACTTCAAAAGTGGTGAAAATGATATACAAAAAACCATTCTTATATCCTACTGATGCCTTATATGAAGAATCTAGAGTAAACGGTTTTGCCTCTGGTTGGTTAAGAGACAGTATAAAAATAAATCTGGTTTTGAACTAATGGAACATAGATATAACACCAGTATTATACAGAGTTCCCAAAACAGGCAAACCCAAATACAAAGGAGTTATTATTTTCTAGCAACAAACATTTAAAGTAAATTTAACAAAATATAAGACAAATTGAAATATCCAATGCAACGCTCTACCAACTGAGCTACCACAACCTCTTCCATTTCTACATTGTCGGTCAAGTCTTTCATCATTTTTAAGTTGTTAGTTGTGAAGACCAACAGTAACCTTCGGCGGTTACCGCTGGTATAGGAGTGAGTTAGAAGGTATAAGGGTGTGATGGAACTAGCTATTGCCCCTTTTTGGGCTTTAGTCAAACCGCACCAGGGATGCCAAAAGTTTTTACTTTGACTGGGTTAGGGGTGCCTTGATTCTCATTTATACAAATAAAACGCTGAAATAGAATAATTATCAATTTAATTAATAAATGAAAGTAATTCGGTATAGATCAATCAAATCCTATCTAAAAATTCCTAATTGGACGTTCACTCGAAGTACAAATTTTATACTAATCTAAAGTAAGTATCTTGATTTATAAAAGGTAGGGAAATCTGATAATGATAATATCATTTATGGTTTAATGTTAAGTGAACGAAAACATAAATTAACTAATTTAAATGCACGAGAGCACAACATAAATAATTCGTCAACTTTAATCAGTTCACTGTAATCACAAAATGTTTATTGATCCTTGAAAGTTCTTTTATTTATTGAGAGTTAACAATTTGAGCACTTTTCTGCGGAAGTATGTAAACAATATGTGCAATAAAAATCCTTATATACAATGCTCAGTTTCTATATACAAAAGTACAAATGTTAATTTCACGAGTGCGAAAACCAAATTTCTGCATTAAACGTTAGAAGACACTTCAAATTATAGTGCATTTCAAGCGAATCACTAATCAGTATTTATTGTTCGACTGTTAGAGAAATTGTAACGTTCTTACTTGCTTAATCCGGTTCATGCAGATAAATCCACAAGGCCATTATTCATCTTTTTATCACTATTCACACTGGCAGCTAGGGTACTTTCCACTGAGATGAAAACACAACGATATGCACATGCAGGCGCGCTGGAGCCCGGCGAGAGTTAGAGAGAGAGAGAGCCAAAAGAAGGTGACTTGCAAAAATTACGGGTTAATTACATGAATTGTAATCAATAATATAGACCATGTCAGGCCTTGAGACACAGAGAGTATTTTACTATAAATCGCGCGTACTAACGGGGGTTTTGCTTCTGGGGAGCATTCAGAGGGCGCGAACTCTTCGCTTATTCTAATGTTACTGAAGAATGTGCGTCGACTAGCTCTGCCAGGGAGCAGGTCGCAAAAACTAGGGATTTTGTGTGGCGGCTGACCAATCACAGCGGCGAGACAAGTTCACTACCTTATAAGGTGATGAAGAAACCTGCAATTTTATTGATTCAAAGGGTTGTTGCTGCCGGTTTTACAGGATAAATAGTCCAGCAAAAGCATCTATTTTTAGAATATTATTTTTATGGTAAATAATAGAGAAGAAAATTATATTAAATTAGAAATAATAAAAATTAAACCTGTTGTGGGTTATTTCCGCAACAAAGGGGATCACATTCGCAATTAATGGGTATTTAGAATCCATTATCCCTTCAACCACGGATGCATCGTCGACATATATAGAAATGAAACAGATCTCGGTATCTCAGTTGGTAGAGCGTTGCACTGGATATGCAAGTGTCCAATTTTAAACGAAACAAATTAAAATAATGGCTTCCATCCCTCATCTTTTTCTGATTTCCGTACATATCTCTTTCCGAATCTTCTATTAAATTTATGTAGGTACCATCGTCACCAAAAGTAACTGGGACAGCATCACATTAGCTCTTGTCCTATTATATGAATTCTATTGTCAAATATTTATCAAACTATGAATTAAATGCATTGAAATGAATGACAGTAGAATTGGTCCAGGAGATTATTATGCATTATTTGTGTCCCAGATACTTTTGGTGACGATGGTACTCCATTCCATTGTCAGTTTTGCTAGTTTGTTTTGCAGATACTTATTCCTAAAGTTTCGTTAGTTATTTTCAAAATGAAATATTGGCTATATTATCTATAGAGAAAAAAATCGAAAAAGTATTGGTTACTGAACTCATATTATCAAATTGGGAAACAACACTCCAATGTGGGTTCTCTAATAAAACCATCATTTTATCAAAACAAAAATTATACATTAGGCAAAAATATTTTGCAAACAATCCGAATAAATTTGTTGAATCAATACCAGTCGATGTGGGTGCGTTAACAGGCAATCAGGCCAACGGGTAACTACTCAACCCACTTTTCGGTTTTTATCGAAAATGTATCTATAAATTTGAACAAAAGAATGGGGGTTTAGACGGTTTTTGAAGGCTGCAGACGCACAATTTTTAAAACAAAAATGAAACAATAGGCAAGTGTTTCGCAATAGTTTTATTAACAAGAGTTATTAAAAAGTCGAAAAAGGTCGGCAAAGCATATCAATGTAGGTATTTGTTCGTATACAATATTGCCAATTAGGGGCGATTTAGTATCGTGTATTTTAATTGACTCGTAAAGTAAGTAGAGTAGAAAAAAACAAGCGCTCACCTAGAAAACTCATGTTTCATTTATGTCAATAAAATTATCACAAAATGGAAAACAAACATTTGACGATGTTGTGTTCTTATTGGACACTCAAATACTTTATGCAAAAATATTGGCGTAATGACATCCAGTTGCTGGAAGAATCTAGATGAGGATCAGGCAGAAATGGAAAAAGCTTACATTCAGTAGTGAATGTGAACAGGCTGATAAGAAGAAGTCTCACTAATTCACTATAATAATAATAAATTCAAATACATCTTACAAGAAAAATCTCATAAACCGCAACTCATATTTTTAATTACTTTGAAACGAATCGCAATTTTGCGTTACACGCCGCACGAGTAATTAGTTGCTTTATGCACGGTTGCACGTCCATGGCAAAAATTGACACAACACCCAGAAGAACAATACGTGAAAGTGCATGTAAATGGCAAGAAGACTGACAACATTGTTTGTTTAATTATTACAGAAATTTGCCTTAGGTATAAATGTGTGTTTTTCCTGTCCAAAAATG